CCCTTGTTCCGATCCAGAATTGATGGCATAGTTGTGCGCCCCTTGGAGATCCTGCCCCTCGTGATGGACGTATTTGTCATTACGAGGGTTTTTCTTTTTCGGCTTCTGCTTGGACGCAATGTCCTTTGCGGACGCTTTCGCCGGCTTATGCTTTTCATATAGGATTTTAGTCTCCTCTTCGATGGTTATGTAATCGCTAGCTTTGTGGAGCGCTTCCTGGATCGTGTACGGTTTCTCGAAACTATCCACTTTCGAAACTTCGACTTGAACTAGAGCGATTTTCTGAGCGCATCGATGGCGGCTTTGTCGCTTATTCCGCTAACCCTAGCCATGATAAGTTTGAACTTGCTCATGAAGTCGCGGAGAGGTTCGTCTTCCTTCTAGGATAAGCTCCAGAGCTCGGCATCAGAAGTTTCCCGATTTATAAACATCGAGTATTGCTTCAGGAATTCGGAAGCAAGCTGGCGGAAACTCCCGATTGAATTACGCTTAAGCTTGGCGAACCACTCGAGCGCTGCTCCTACTAGGTTTTCGACGAAAAGACAGCAATAGCCCGCATTTTTTTCGTGATCTTTGAGCTTTGCTCGTCCCATGGTAATCTGGAAGGCCTGCAGGTGCGCTTTGGGATCGGTCATCCCGTCATAGGTTGGCACTATGAGTTTTCCAGGATCGGGTGACTTGACCTCGGTGATGCGAGCCGTGAAAGGCGTTCTACGAGATTCGTATAGCAGCCGATCTATTTCGAGCGTGGCACTGGTAGCATGGTGAATTTGAGATTTCACCGCTTTTACTGCTGCGGCCGTTTTATTAATGTAGTCGCGGAGATCGCGAATCTCTGTTAGTTCGCCAGCAGTTTTCCGATTTTGTCGGCGTTTGCTGCAAGTAACTTGAGATCGTTTCCTCGGCCGTTTTTGCGTGTTGCACGCAGTAGTGCCCCTCCTCATCCTCAATAAGAGAACGCTCACGAGATGATTCCAGCTGAGGGCTGCGATCATTCCTTCTCTGCGGATGGACGTCTGCGTCCTCATCTGATGGATCTGATGTTCGCTGTTTCTAGGTTAACCCTTTCAACACCGTCTTCTTCGGTCTCTTGTCTGCGAGTAGGAGATTTGTCCGATTCATTCAGCGTCGCGTCTGGGTTATATTTTTCGGAGTATTGCTAAGGCATATTTCCCTGCTCGGTTCTGGGGCGATCCATAGGTGTCCCGAAATCGGGCCTTATTTTGTGGATCCTAGTAGTTCCGCGGGGTCAAATTGCCTTGGTTCTCGTAGTTAAGGTTTCAACCTGTTTTCCGACTAAACCGATGAGCTCTTCTTTCTTCTCGGATTTCTTGTTGAAATCGGAGAGCATCTTTTCGACGGCCTCGGTGTTAGCGTTAGCGTTAGCGTTAACCGCGGACACATCGGGAGCGGGTGTGTTGTCAACGTTGTCGCCATCGATGCGAGTTGGTTGTTCTTCAGACATCGCTTCTCGATTGAGCGTGCTGTGGCTTGAGTGTAAGATAGATCCCCCCCCCCTTACTTCTAGCGCCAAACTGTGGGAACTGAAATTCACCCCTGTCGATTTTACGTATATTTAGGAATTTAGAGTAAACCCTAATTTCCGAGAGGACCCGGCTATCTGCGGAACTGCACACAAGCAATCAAGAACACGATATGGATAAGTAACACATAGTAAAAACGAGATTGAGAGCAAGAAGGAGTCTTAGTCCGAATTCGCATAAGAACGGTACAACAAGAGTAAGCCTTAGCTGCGTGAGCCGTTGGCGAGATTCCTAGTTCTAGCAATCTAAGACTAAACCCTAGTTGAGACGCAGCTCGATAACAAAAACGGAAAGTTGCCAAAATGCTAAGTTTTGGTGGTGAAAGCTCTGAAAACTCGTCCCTTTGTTTTGTCCTTGGCCTTCTGCTTATATACTCACTCCTTAGGCGGTTTAGTCTTTCCTTTTCGCCCAGATTCGAGTTTATCATGAATCTTCCATTTATCTCGATCTTTCCATTTTCCTTGCAGAAATCTTCTATTTATCTTCAAACTTGACATGTATCTTCGAACTTGACATTTATCTTCTTTCTGCGAGTAAATCGTCAAACCGACATTGTATCTTTGGGCTGGATTTCTTTTAAAGTCGCAAGTGCGCTTTTATCGCGTTTTAGGACTGTCCGAGCCATTTTGCGACAAAAACCGTTTTACGATTTTAGACGAGATCGTTTCCTGATACGATGTCGTTTTTATAAGATTTCTCGAGTTAATCGTATAGTTCGAAAATGTACAATGTTTCGTCGAATCGTTGCCGTTTTATACGATCTTCCCGAACTTTAGGAGAAAAGAAGACTTTTATGATTTTTATCGTAAAACTTGAACGGTGAAACGGATCGAGACGAAATGAGAGATGTTTCGACCATGGTTCAGAGCATGATCGAATCAAAGGATGTATGCCTTACGTCAAAGTGCGGGAGATCGAGACTCGGGACGGTCAACTCGACGTACGGTGAGCCGAACCAAAGTGGTTCAGCGCCGTACGGTTAGCTGCTTTGAGGCGACCAGTTCGGTGTACGGCGAGCTGGTTCGGCGCGAGCTGGTCCGGGACCAACCAGTTCGCCGTACGGCGAGCTGAACCGGCTGGTTCGGCTTGTTGTACGTTGAACTGGTTTGGTAGAACATGCTCGTGGTTTATGGCAGATGCGGTTTTTTCGCTTGACTTGGGCAATCGTGTAATCGGTGATTGTTTCGTTCATTCTTCCGAGAAGGCGATCTCCAAGTTATCCGCGGATTTCCTTTGTTCGGAAAGTCCTTAGAATTTTACAAAACAGCCTCTCGTGTGTTATAAACTTATTTTTATTTTTACGGAAAGTTTTAGTCATTGATTCCGTTGTACCGATTTTGACCCCAACAGCCGGCATGTGCACTTTCTTCCTTCCAAGTTAACAACATGCAAAGGCTCACCATATGTAACTTCAGTGTGATGAGCATCGATCCATTGTACAGCCAACAGTCTCGTGGTAGTAACACAATCCTATTATAAATAAAAATGAAAAACATAAGAGGCTTAGTTATGAAATCTAATAAGGATGACTTATTAAATGACACGGCTAACGTATGAAATCTATTGAGGCTGATTTATCGTTGTTACAACTGAGTTATGAAATTTATTAAGGCTGACTTATTGTTGCTACAACTGAGTTATGAAATCTATTTAGGCTGACTTATCGTTGCTACAGCTGAGTTATAAAATCTACTTAGGCTGACTTATCGTTGCTACAACTGAGTTAAGAAATTTAATTAGGCTGACTTATTTAATAATTACGGATGACTTACAAGTAATACTTTCTCTACAACACGTGTAAGCATGGTTCGCTGCGATTCAGCATCCTCTCTCTGTTCAGCAAACCATCTGGTCATCATAACCCGTATCGATTCTAGTAGTCGAATAATGTTAAGACCTCTAGCATTTGATACTGCTCTATTCATTGATTCCGCTATATTTGTAGTCATCAAATTTTACCTTTCGCCTGATAAATGAACATGCGCCCACAGTCTAACATCAGCTCTTTGGAGATACCCATGAAGGTCAGGATTTATAGTTTCAATCTCCTCGAACATTGCATCAGGCATCCTAAAACATCTTGCCGCTTTCTTCACCAGAAGAAATACATCTTGTCCTTTGTACCGTCCCAAAATGTTCTTATATAAATGGTACGTGAAAATTCCTCGAGAAGCCAACAAATACACATTTTGAATAGCCTTCCCAATCGAGTTATGCCTATTAGAGATCGGCGTCTGTAACATAAACCCTAATTTCATGGTTGTAACGTTAGTAATGACATGGAAAATAAAAACTGACATGGATGATGATATAGAAAATCGGTAATTCAGCCACCAAACGAACACTTAAGTCAGCCACCAAATACACCGTAAGTCAATCAAAACGTGAATACTACATTAGTAATTAATCTTTTGCTAATAATCAGCCATAACAAAGATGAAACACAATAAGTCAGCCGTATCGTCAAATAAATCAACCGGAAAATGAATGATATTCTAGTAATTAATCTTACGCTAATAAGTCAGCCGTAATTTAGCTGAGTTTAGTGTTACTCTATTTTATTTCGGCTGATTAAAAATAACTCAGCCGTAAAACCTCTCATAACTCAGCCTGTCGACGATCATTTAACCAGCCGCGATAGTTAACCCATCCGTATCGTAACTAGAAGTCAGCCGGATTTTCAAGAAAATCAGCCCGCTGATGTATAAGTCAGTCGTATCATGTGACCGAACTCAGTCGTTCTCACATAAACCAGCCCGATTTATTTAAGTCAGCCGTAACGATAGGCTGAGTTATATTCATAACTCAGCTTATTTCTCATAAGTCAGCTGCATTCTTTAAGTCAGCCACACCGTAACTATAACTCGGCCATAATGAAATTCGTCTCGTATTACGACTGAGTTTCATGCCGCATTCTTACGTGGAGCTGATTTTTTGTCTATGTAGCAGTAAAAAGTAATGACATTCTTGTAAATACGTTTTTTCTCACAACGTTAGAAAAGGGCACGCTGGGTATTAATAGAAAAAGTTTTGTATGATTTTCACAATAAGTAATAAAATTCATATTGTTTGAGTTAACTTGAGCAATAAATTTTTTGTATGGTTTTGTATGAGAGAAATTTTTTTTATGGTTTTGTATGCTAGAAATTTTTTTAGCACAAGAACTTGAACAATAAAGAAATTGAATTTTTGATTTCAAGATCTATAAATCCAAATCGGGATCAAAAATAACAAAAAGACTCCAACTAAAACTTTCGAACGGGTACTAATAACAAAACACTCGAACTAAAACTTTCGAACGGGTACTAGTCCACAAACTCACGAACTCTCAGGCCTACCAATCGCTCTTATCTTTTTGGGACATTAGTTGCTTTGATAAGATTTTTAACGAACAATATAACACTCTGTTTAACCAACCACTTAGATGAAAAACTAGGTTCAGAAAATACTTGAACACGAAAAGTCATCAAAGTTCAAAGGCACAGAATACCTAAAGAGTTGTTTGTACAAACAAATATTGTTTCGATAGCTTAAATGTCTCTAGATAAGGTTTCAACACACATTGGAAAGTAGAATAGGTCAGGCATACCCGTTGAATGTTTTGAACTTTTTTTTACGAAGAAACAAAAACTAATCAACCATCTTCCTAATAGCAATACTTGGATGTTTCAGTCTTCGTAGTAGAGCTTCTTCACTACTCCCTCAAGAACACCATCTGCCCCAAAATTACCGCTGAAATCTTCGTTGCTCACAGGACCCGGAAGCTGGAAAGAGATGGTGAAGTGGCCTGGAGGGCATAGGTTCTGTGATAGCATCTTGAACACCTGATTGTGTTTGCACACTGTCTTCTCTCCCGTCGTTGTTGCTCCTTTTATCAGAATCTTACCGTCCGGTTCTATTTCGCAGCTGAACTCCTCTGTACGTTTCATACATATCAGACTCACCAGACACAAACAAGATCCTCATGAGTACATATGCTTAATGGAAAAGTTTGAGACTTACTTTCATCTCTTGAAACACCAGGGAGTGAAACACGAAAATAATAGGAGTCATCAGATTCAGCAATATCCACCAAACCAATCGTTGGTCCAATCTTCCCCATGGCTGCACTTCCAGTGAGGGCAATTCCGGTTTTTGATTGAGAGATGAGGCTTTGAAACTCTGGAGTTGATTCAGAAGGTAGAAATATCATTGATGGAGGTCCTGTTTTCTCTGCAGTCTCGTTGGCCTTGATACCAGACATTGATGAATTACCATTTAATGGACCAACGTAAGGCAAACTGTTCAACGGAGCAACTTCAAGAACTTGTGGAAAACCGTTGCTCTCTCTCATCCCGTTTTGACCACTTAAAGACCTGAAGTAGTAGAACAACAAATACACTTGGTGAACTTACTGTATAACAGATTCACTTACATTAAAAAGCTACTTGAACTATGACCCAAATAGACGTCCTATCATATAATATCCACAATGCTAAATACTTATATTCGTTTCAGATGGAAGTTTATTGGACCTTTTGAAGTGTTTTAAAAATATTTTTTTCCACGAAAATCTGTAAAAATCATATCTTCATTCATTTTCTTTTACCCAAAATTTAGGGTTTTTGGGCAAAAAAGCATATCATCGAAGCTTAGGGCTTTTTCGAGAATCAATCAACTAGGTCTTTTTCACTAATGATACTAAGCAAGCTAAGACATACCTTGAGGCTTTTTTTTTAAGGAAATCATTCAATTTACCTCATCGGAGATGTTGTTTCAGAAGTCGCCGAATGAACTCTCCGAGGAGCGTGTTCTGTTCCTTTTGCTTCTTTTCTGGGAGAACAGCTCGTCTACTAGGGGGGGGGGGGGGTTTTAA